AGACGCATCTTAAAAGAGGAAAGCGTTCTAGTTAGCTATAGAAGTAGAAACGGATTTATTGATTCAGTAAACCGCTTTACACTGGTGGCCTACCCGAAAATGGAATAATTGGGGGTGTGATCAAAACAAGCAGGTAAGAATATCTTCAGCTTATACGGAAAAGCAAGGGATGCGTCTCGTCTTAAGCAAACAGAGGTTTTCATGCTATGTACCTGAAGCCTTGGAGTACTTGATATAACCTTGATATGACCGCAGCAGCAGGTCAAATGTGCTTAAAGTTCCGACAACCTGGTATGATTTCAGTGGAAGCTGGTAGCGCGAACGTTCCGGATGCTGGCTCGCCATATTATCATGTTTTGTCTCCATCCATGTATGGAGCTGATAACGTAAATGAATCCTGAGAACAGGGTCATTTCTCCAACATATACCGTTTGTACTACATTGCTTTCCTTTTGGCAAAACTATGCGCCAACCGTTCCTTTGTTTATTCAATAGAATTTGGCTCGGAAACAGCTCATCTACAACTCAGTATGTGTAACATGTGACACTGCAGTTATTGGTGCTGGATGCGATGGATGTCTGTCGCATTATTCAAGGAAAACATAGACGTATTGTGGATTCGTTTTCTTGGCACTGTATAAAAACACATTCCACAGTGTAGTACATGACCACTGAGATCCACGGACAAGACTTTCCGAAGCCAAAAGTAGCATACTCTCTTCAAAGGGAACATACACTGTGTCTATCGGTCAAACTACCGACAGAGCTGACCGAGCTTCAGATAATTACTCTAAAACTATCGATTTATCTTACCGATCGCCCCTCGCGAATCACGATATTGCATTTTTCAGGTGTTACTGCTAATGCACGGGTGTCAGACGTTACGGTCTTTGCGGCAAGGTCAAGGCAGATACAGACAAGCATAACAATTGGAGATTGAAAGTACATAGGCGGAGTAAGCAAATAAATATGGAGGTTATCATTAAGTCGAGTTATTTCCAATAAGCGGTGGGATATACCTGGGCAGCTCTGATTGTTGTGGAATGTTGGTAGGGTCTTCTGTAGAGCCTTGTAAAAACAGTGGCATCGAAATTTTTGCTTGTTTGCCTGACCTGCCACTAAATCACGTAGAATTCCAGCTACCGGCCTCAAAATCAAGACGGCTGGCACATGATAGTGCGTTCAATAGCTCACAGTACGGTACAGTGAACAAAACTGCGGCAGCTACAACCACTGTACGACGAGTACGCGGTTCTTACAGCTGACAATGATGATGATGATGATGACATTACAGTCCAGTAAATTCGTAAGTCTGATGAGTGGCGGTCGATTGATGGCTGAGGAAACCATATGAAAGGGGGATTGATATTGCCAGTATGCAAAACATTAATGAACAGAGCGTCGCTTATTCAATGACGTTATAATGGAAGCATTCGTGCTGTGGCTAAATGCCTCCCACTGGAGTGATATTGGAAGAATAGAAGTACTCAAAGAGAGGCAACAGCGAGCCCTCCACCACTGGCCTACGAGCAGCGAAAACAAGGTTGAGGATGCGGGCAGTCATGATATACCAAACGTAGAAGTACCCCAATTTACAGTAAAACTGATGGTACTCCGTGGTACTACTTTAAGGCTTTCATTCTATCGTCCAATTTTTTCTAAGCAAAGCTTTTTTCTGCCACAGCAATTTATCACACCAGGCTGCACACTATTACGGTTTCTTGACGGTTTTTCCTTCTTGATTTACCCTTGGTCACCGTTGTTTGTTCGTAATGCTTGTGACCAGTACAGTAGTGTTACAAACTGTTAGGTCCAGAGTATCAGCCGAAACTTGTTTGAGGGCGAAGGCTGATTGATCAAAGGCCGGACCGACAGTCTGGCTGACGAAAAAAACAATGAAACAAGTTAGAAGGCTGGAACGTTTGTGCATGTTTGTGCCAGTCGAATATTACGGTGGTTACGGTGTAAATTCCTGTGTGATTCTGCACCCATCTAACACCTTAATTCAGGATTGGTCTTCAAAAATATTTTTCTGACATGCCCAGGCTTTCCAGCCTGAGCCCTTTATCTAATTGTACCAGTAGATTAGATCCAAACTGCCACAAATCCCTTGGACCACCTGTTTCGGTCTATTCGTCGTTTCACATAAGACCGCGATGTCCAAAAAGGGTGCATTTCTAGCACAGTTTTTAGCGAATTCAGATTACTATATTGATTCGATAATAAAATGTACAGTTTTGAAATGACTGTTCGATAAACTCTATCGGATCGTTGCGACTAAAGACACCATCTCAAACGTAAAGTGCAAAAAACAGTAATTTATGTGTGCATCTGCTAAAGGCCTCCTTGAATTGGTCTACATTCTAATAGCTCTCCACGAGTGCTGGTGTTCTTTGGAAGTTCATTTATCCAATCAGTCAATTTGAGCTGGTGTGTGGCTTACACAGTAACCGTTTGTCAAACCCAAATGACATAAACAGTACGTTTGAAAATCACCAGTTTCCGGAACACTAGGCGTTTTCCAAGAAATATCCGCGCCGTTAGTTCGTCCAAGTGAATTCACGACATGATGCGCATGGAGAATATTTCAATTATTTTTATGGAGTAGCAGTCATCATCCTCATCTTTAACTGAACATAAAACCGCAGACCTGCCTTACAGTGGTTTTGGCCGCCACAGTTTCGTTCACCAATGGCTTGAGGTGGGGTAGACAGCTAGTATAATTGATGCACAAATACAGGGGTGTCACTGGACGTTCTGTTGGGGAAATCGGGAGGATGGAATAAAGGCGGCAGCTTGAATGCATGAGGAGCGCCACTGAGGGTGTGACTGGACCACGTCTGACATTGTCTGTAACCCTTGATTTGTCCGGTTTCGGGGTCTCCATTCAGAGATATGGCTATGACCAGCGCATCTGGGTTTTCTGGCAATAGAAAGTATTTTATCGTTAGCTGTAAATGTCGCGGTTGTACGGGGGCTGGGATACTGCCATAGCACCCATACCCAAGCAGGAGGATGATTAATCATCATCATCATCATCATCATCATCATCATCATCATCATCATCATCATCATCATCATCATCATCATCTGTAGCACAACATCGGTGCACAAGTGCTGATGATTCGCTGCCGGATAGGTCAAGTCATGTCGTGATAAGCTCCAAAAANAGCTGGTAAATTGGTGCATAAATCCAGCACTGTCAGTGAGTTGTCAAGCGGGGGGCGGTTGGAAAAGGAGCTATGCATTGAAGGCAATAGCTTTGATGCACGAGCGCCATTGAGGGCGTGACTGGGCCATGTCTGATAATGTCTCTAGCCATTGATGTGGCCCGTCTCGGGGTCCCCATCCAGGAAGACGGCAGTGACCAGCGCAGCTGAGTTTGCTGGTAATGGCCTTCATACTTCGCTGCCAAGTCATTGTTTGACCGCCTCTGGCTCTCTTCCACCCTTCACATGGTTGGGCGAAAAGAGGATGATTAAGATCCCCAATCAAAGCCTTTGGCTCAAAAGCCTAGTCGCAATGCAGCGGCGGTGTTGGGCTTGAAATGCGGAAATTTTTACGGAACACCTCGCCACACGTGTCCCAAACCCCAACCCGGAGGACCAGTTAGTAGCTGGTACTGGCTTCTATACTCCGCTGACAGGTCACTGCTTGACCTCCCGTCTCTCATTTTCACCCTTTGTGCGATCTACCGGAAAGGGTTGTCCAAGAAAGTCGGTCATCAGCACACGGAGCATGTGACCAATCCAAAGCAGCCTGTGGAGTGTGATCAATCCATCTATCATGAGCGAATTGTTTCTTCTGAACACCACTTGACTTACTTTAACATTATTTATCAGGTCAGTTCGTCAGACCCCGGCAACGCACCGCAGGCGTCCATGGTAAAACACTAAAACATTTTTGGTGTCCTAAGCGCGCAGCGACCAGGTTTCTGACCTGTATAATAATATGGAGCGCACCGCAGCACTGTGCCCTCAACCCTTGCTAGGTTAGCTCATATTACATCTACGCCACAGGAGATACAGGTTCACGAAAGTTATTCTGGCCTTCCCCATCCGGATGGAAATCTAATCTTTGCGAGACCACCTGGATTGATACAGCTGCCCAAGTAGACGAATTTTTCTACTACCTGAATCGACTCACCCGTTAGCATGAGGTTAGGACTCAAGTCCACCCAATCTTGCAAGAAGTTTCTGCACTTTGCAGGTGTAAAGCACCTTCCAACCCGTAAGGCACTAATTGGATGTTAACAGCTGTTAAACGCACCTCTACCTCATTACAGATGATACAACACGTGTATAAGCAGTGCAGCTGATTTATAGGTGTAGCTAACTTTAAAGCTTCCATGTGTGGATTCAGGTGCGGTTGGTCGAAATGGAAGCCTTCCATATAGACTACTAGGTATCCGGGCCCCACTTTGGTTTTAAGTCCTGGCTTGGTCATCAGGTTACTCATGCCAAGCCAGCGGCTTGTCAACTAACCGACTATCTCAGGGTCACATCAACTATTTGGACCGAACTATCCAAACATTCAAATTCGAATTACATGATGAAACAGTAAGACGGAGATTCAAGTGTAAAACAAAGTTTGTCAGCCAGTGGGTCAGATTATTCGGATCGCGATGCTGTGGTTACGTATAGTAAACTGTCCTTCAGAAGGTCACGTGCCTATTCAGTGAGACTCACTGAGGAAGGACTGCATCAGAATAATGGGTTTTTCTAGGATCTAGCGATATCTCTACAAATGAAATAGAGATTTAACCAGGTGTGAAGTTTTACTCAGATCGCATACTCAGGTGGTATGAAGTACGCAGTCCGGACGTTTAGTTTTGATTCTTGTAGCATTACTTCAATCCTTCCTTCAGGAGACGTCCACAGACATGTCATGAGGTTTTCCTATCACTGCGTCGCGTTGCGATTCTTTTGAAGATGTTGCTCACATACGTTTTACTTGTCTCAAACGTAAACAGTTCTGTCGTGTGTACCAGTCTACTTTAGATTACTTTTTCATTGTTCGACCGATCAGTTACAAACCTTTTGGACTCATTGTCTACGTTGTACCGACAGAATGCCAATGAAAAGACCGCGAAAAAAACTTTCACTCCAACAAATGTGTCGGTGGAGTCGACCAGTGACTGTGGTGGACGATTAGTTTTGAGCTGGTTTCCTCAGAGTGGACTCAATGACACTTGGTCCCTGGAGTTGGATTTCAAACAAACCAACTCGTCAATGAAAGTGAATGCACAAAACTACTATACACTGAACTCAATGGAGCTCACAGTGGTGGCCGATGAGTCCATACTCCCAGGTGTCAAGGTACTGGGTAAGTGATAATGACGTACCGTCGCATTTCATGCAAGTCAAACTATCCTACTGTCAAAACTAATTTCCAGATTATCATCCACCTGCTGAGATTCCCCTGAGTTGTCAAAGGGAGTCCTCTGAGATCGGGTAATTTCTGCACTTCCGTGTGCTTGTTTGGGGCTTCAGTAAACCATCAGCTATGACAACCCAGGCAAGATGAAAGTCTGTCTCTCCTAGAAGAGCCTCTCCGCCTAGCGGACTAGCACACCAAGCTGAGAAACGCTCTTGCACAATTTGTAGAACTTTTTTTCACATAACTATGTGTGTATGTGTGTGTGTGTGTTGAGTGACTCAGTTTTGAGTTCCACCTGCCAGCTAGCTCAATGACTTCATTCTTCGTTTCTAGGTCATCGGACTAGCTACGCACGAGTTATGCGCTATAGTGGTCTTGGTGAATATTGGCATTTTAGATACATTCAAATCACCATTTTTGTTCCACAGCATTGGTCTAGATTAAACACAACTTTATTTTTTGTGAACTTTTGTCCTCCTTTAGCTGGACAGTGGAATTCTTTGTCACACCTAAACTGAGCTTCAGACTAGGTTGATCGATGCCCGAAACTTGAGGTTTGATCCGCCACGTTCAGTACTGAATCATCAAATGACACAATACCAGGAGGGGGTGGTATGTTTCGAAGAAAACCCCGAAATCCTGTCACTGTGTCTGGTCTCATCACGAACTCACTGCTTGCCAAGTCACATGACAACGTATTTTTTCCGTCAGTACGCTAAGGGCACCATGAAAATTCTGAGTTGGTGAACCATCAGAAGTACTTGGGTGAATGACTGTTGTCTGATGTCGTATCGCGGAGGTCCTCAGTTCTAAGATTTCCATTCCTGTTGAGAGTGTTGTGCTACATATGTCGGTAAGTAAGCAGGCGAAATACGCAAGCAGGTCAGTTGTGACAAGGAAACTTTCGAATCTTTTCTCTTTACTGAGTTACTGCCCGAGATGGGAAAGACCATCAAGGTCACTCGTCTTTCTTGTAGTCCAGCTGAGGACATTCGAACTCGATTTACCATCGACAGAACTGAGAGAACATGTTTCGTACTGAGTGAGTGCAGAATGGTTTTCGCTATTCCAGACATTCCTCAGACAACAAAATCAAGCATCAACGTCACAACGTACCGTGAATAACACTGATAGCTGAATACCTCTCGGGGTATAAAAGTTGTATTCCGTTTGTTTGAAGATTTTTCATTATTCTTGAATGGAGGATACACATGGATCTGCAGGAATGTCACCATAAGTAGCTTACATACAGCAGCGTGAGTTGGCTGGTTGGATTGCTTGGTAAGTGAGATTTTTTATGGGGAGATATGGTTTTTTTTTCATTAAAGGCTTCATCATGTAATTGAAGTCATTCTATGCCGAAAAGCCAATCATAGTCATTGTGCAACTCACGGACCTCCAGGGTGATTTGAACTCACAATTCTCTATTGGTGGTTAATGCTTGAGCTATCCGACAGTGGGGGTAGTGTGACGAACACGTCCTTACACAGGATGTAGCAATCACGTGGTTACGTGTTTCCTCAATTGATGACTTCCTAGACGGAATGTCGTGTGGAGTATTCTTCCTTCCGTCGCTCGAGGACCAAGTGATATGACTTCCTTGATTCAAGGATGAATGGCACCACATCCTATTTGAGGTGACCAAATTTAATCGGGAGTTTGAGAGTTCGGAACCTTTGGGGATTCGTAAAAAGTATACTACTGATGATTCCAAGTTGGGACGGAACAGCCATACAGTGCTTCTCGGCTTTTGGCATACAATGAATTCAAAAAGGGCAGCATCAAGTGAAGATATTTTCCTTGTCTCCACTGGCACAGTGCCAATCAGATTTTTAGTTTACCTCAGATAAGTGTCCCTTCCTGTCACTCGTAACTAACCAGAAACTAAGGAGCACCAACGTAAAACAGTACTTCCTACCTATATTTGAGGGTCACAAGGGTTCATCAACCGCTGTGAGTTCCCGGAGTTTGAAACGAATGATGGATATCGCCGAGATTCAAAGGCGACGATTCAAAGTGCGACGTACACCCAAATAAACAGAAATTTCCAACGGGTAGCAACATAAATTGTTGTTTTTTACTAGTGAAGGAAAATGCGGTCGATGGGGTTGGTGCGGTCTGAGAAAAGCGAGCCCATGACAGCCGAAGTCACGGCATAGATTTTTCTAAAGCCCAAGATAAACATCTTGCGGTTAAGTCAGAAGAATACAGCCTGGCCGGTTTCTGCTCCAGGATACTTACCAAATACCTGCCTTCCTTCCTCTCGAAACAGCAAGTGGGAAAATTGATAGTTCAACAAATCAATGCCTTTCCCGGGCCGCCTGATTAGGAGGATTGGTTTTTCTCCCCGAGATATCTGATTAGTGGACCGTTCTACAAACATGTATGGACATCAGTTCATTGAACTTATATGTCGGCTTAGAATAACACGATTGTTCGGCATCATGGATCGAGTGAAGTGAGAAATTGAGAACGCATCCGTGGAACTGAAGAAAAAATTGTCAATACATTTGTAAGAGGCACGCAAACGCGCTATAGTTTAGTGTCGAACGATAATGAACATCATATACGATGAAATATGCTGTATTTGGTCTGGCCCTCGTAACAGTTTGCATTTTCTCAGCGCATCCAATGACGCGTTTGAAGTTCCCGGTACAACAAAGCAAAACTAATCATAGGTTTGATAAATAGCTATCTCGAGTTTAGAACTCAAATGCCCCGTATTGAACCAGAGCCGGCAAACTAAAAAAAGGAGAATGGATACCGTAATAGTGTTTCAGTGTCACTGACGGTGCTGATCAAATTCCTAGTGTGTGTGCTTTGTCGTTTACTTTTGAAACTCGGTTTTGTGCGCCCACAGTGTGACATTCGTTTAGACAGTTGGAAGTTCCTCTTTAGCCATTGGTGGAATCAGTCGTGACAACCTTTATTCAGAGTTGTTGCAAATAGGCAAGATCATTTCATGCCCATTCATGCGAGTATTAGGTGGCGTCTCAATTTTCGTTTGTACGTAGAGAAGTCCAACTCAGATGTATCAATGCCTAAAATGCCTTCCTCAAACGGGCACTGAAAAATCAAATGTCTGAAGCGTCGAAACCCCAGGGTGCCGGTCGGAAAGTAGGATTAAGGGGGGATGTGACCGATTTTGGCGGTTTGCTCTCGTTTTTGTTCCATGTTTTGCGTGTATCTTTCATTAATTTTAAAGCGTGATAGCGTTTCATAATATTGACTGTGGTCGTTTACGTCACACCGCATCACAGGATAGGATGGCCTTGGCCCATGAACTGAAAAGTGTGCATGCGAATAGAAAGGATGAGAGCCACTGCTCTAGAGGTTGTTAGAACCAAAATAGTTTTACGGCATATTAAGAATCCTCTGAGACCGAAACGCTACTCATTTTGCGGTTTTGGAAGGCATTGAGAAGTTCGTAACCTTTCAGGAGTAAAAGCTTTTCTACTTCTTCGTTGAAGTGATAATTAAGATGAGGCCACTGTATCCGAAATCAATCAGTGGTTTTCGGGAAAATCAATGGTCGTAAGGCGTTTGTGAAACCATCGTTATTTTGACGAAATGCGCTTGTTTTCAAACTCTATTTGTGCTAACGAGAGACTCAACTGAGTCTCTCGTTTATGATGCTTTCCAACTAGGTCATGTCATGTCATGTCGACAAAATGTGTTGGGGTATCTGAAATATACTACTGACTGAAGCACAAGGCTGCGTTTCTTATCATACTCACTAGGAGAGCATCATAAACGAGGCTGCGGCTAGTCTCTCAATAACACTCGTGTAGCGTGCAAATGTGTTTGTTTCGCCAAATGCCCACAACTTTGTCCGCAATTAGTGGAAACTCGAAGACGACGCCTACATAGGCCAAGAAGGGCTGTTGAAGGTTCTCCAGTAGCTTTGTGAATGATGCATCATTAGTTTGTTTAGCGCACAGCATGGCGTGTTGTAGGACGCACAGACATACACGCGCAATGTGAAAATTAACCAAAGGTAACCACATTAAGAATTCGCTCCAACCGGCCGGAGAGCAAAGCTTGGGCGTAGTGTAGCATTTACGCGTCATCTATGTTGTGGCGTCATTACAATCATATATCAATCGTAAACAACCTGTGGTGCTTCTAGTCAACAGATCTCCCCACTGCCGAATGACGGGGTCGGGGGCAATTTTTCATATACAGAAGGTAATAGTCTCAAGGCAAGTCTAAAGAGTAGTTAGCTCGTACTTGTGGCGTGGGGTTTTCACGCAGTTATGCAGCCACCAGGTCCGGCGTGAATTATCACTCTGTATGACCACACGGTGTGCGGGAACGCAGCTAGTTTTCCCTTGAAAATTGACATTGCAACTTTCTATCCAGGTGTGACCGACCAAACTACACAAAGATTGTCCCATATCCGATCAACTTATAACATCGGGTGGCGAAATGGCTCAGTGGTTAGAGTGCGAATTTACTGACCGGAAAATCCGTGATTCGAACCGACCTCTGCATCTCGATCTCCGCTGTCTAAGCTTGGGCAGCCTGGCAGTATTTCAGCCCTCGTGCAACCTTTGGGTGGCATGGCAGTTAGGCACCCAAAGGGTGATACAGCTGAACGACTGCAGCTGGTTTAGGACACCAGGCTAGTAGGCTGCATTAAAGCAGACATTGTATCGTGAAACATATGAGTGAAATTAATCCTCTGTGTGAATGGAATTATATCAACTGGATGAGCAACACACAGGCCTGATGAATGGCAATGAAAAAGAGACAAATAATTCGCCATTTCACGTTGATCTGTGATGCAGTAACAATGCGTATACAGTGTTTATTTGGTATAAGCGTGTGCGGTTTTTCCGTTACCTACTCAGATTTCATGCTTTTCAAGCTTTTTAGAGCATACAGATGTAATAAGCTTCATCGTTTGTCAGGAACGATGATACCATTTCAAAACTTGCATCGGGGTTTTAGAATCCGTGTTTTGATAACAAACCTCCGTAATTGGTAAGTTCATCTCACTCATAGGTCAACAACAAGTTTTTTGCCTTTTTTATGATCACAGTTTTGTCACGTCTTTATGGCATGCTGTGCTTAGAATTATTCGCCCTTGTTGGAATGTCGTTTTTTTTCCGTGATAAACCTCGTTCTATTTGTTCCATTTTTAAATGATCAAAGACATTCACTCCCTGGTAGAACACTCACGAGAAATTTATTAACTTATTGAACTCTGGTAACAATGAGCAAATAACAGGTCAGTCAAATAGGTTTCATTCTTACGCCCAGTAGGTCAATCACATTCGTGTTTGTAACGGATAGTATTGCTGGTAGTTGATCACGTGACTGTTGATCTGTTCGTCCAACAGACGTTTCGTCACCATTCGAAGAGACATTTTGCTTAAAGGAAACTATCGAAGATGTATTTGAGGAGTAGTTGTTACAGCCCGGCACCTCCTAGCCCATACACAGATTGAGGGAGTGGGTACTGGCATGTTTAAACTTCACCGATCACTTTTAAGTAGCCGCCCGTGATTGGATACTGTCATGAGGACGGCTATTGATTTAAGGCATCCGAATTCAAGTTGCCGTGTTGGGGTGTCTCACCGGTTGCGGACGTCCGTGTGTGCGGAGATGAACCTATGGTACTGGGTGAACGTGTTCAGAGAGGCGCAGCACTGTGCACTTTGAATGAGCCTCACTGGTATGTTCAGTTGGTAGCTATGATGATGTGAAGCTGAGTCATTAAGTTCCATGTCGTATGACTCTGAACTTGCCACACTTTCGCTCAACCTTCGGTACCAGTCATAGGTCTTTCTGTAGCTGTCTGGAATACCGCTGGTGGGAGTTCCTACCGATATGTGCCAGATGGACCAGGCTGAGAACAGCAGTAGTCCGGTTCTGTCATGCTGTCGATGATGATGATGATGATAAACGCATTTTAGACTTGAAGAGCCCTCCCATGGCATCTCGGCGAATGATTGGATGTTGAATAGGATTCAGCATAACTGGGAGGCTCTGAGTAGCGTAATGTCTTAAACGAATAGTGCATGAGCACAACAAATTTGCCTGACAGTCAACGCTTCAAAAGGCTTACACTTTCTTGCCTAATACGGAACAGCTTCTTGTTCGGCCTCCTGACACTTTTGATCACTTGAATTTTGACCAATTTGGACAATTCAGTATCTTGTGCGGATGTCTGGTGACGCGCATGAAGACGGTTTGTAAACTGCTAGATTTGGGTAGATGTATAGTCAAAGAGCTTTCAGCAACCTTATGAGTAGTGCACTACGTCTATACAATGCATTGTGGTATCTCGAATATTGTACCAACTGAAATATCAGGTGGCCTGGTGCAGCACATTCAGTTGTTTGAGAACATCATAAATGAAATATCCATCTGGATTCTTGGTGAGTGTCTCGTCGAAACCAAATTGGTATGCAAACGAGTGTATTTCGCTAAGACCTTGACTCTACTCAGATGTAATAAGCTTCATCGTTTGTCAGGAACGATGATACCATTTCAAAACTTGCATCGGGGTTTTAGAATCCGTGTTTTGATAACAAACCTCCGTAATTGGTAAGTTCATCTCACTCATAGGTCAACAACAAGTTTTTTGCCTTTTTTATGATCACAGTTTTGTCACGTCTTTATGGCATGCTGTGCTTAGAATTATTCGCCCTTGTTGGAATGTCGTTTTTTTTCCGTGATAAACCTCGTTCTATTTGTTCCATTTTTAAATGATCAAAGACATTCACTCCCTGGTAGAACACTCACGAGAAATTTATTAACTTATTGAACTCTGGTAACAATGAGCAAATAACAGGTCAGTCAAATAGGTTTCATTCTTACGCCCAGTAGGTCAATCACATTCGTGTTTGTAACGGATAGTATTGCTGGTAGTTGATCACGTGACTGTTGATCTGTTCGTCCAACAGACGTTTCGTCACCATTCGAAGAGACATTTTGCTTAAAGGAAACTATCGAAGATGTATTTGAGGAGTAGTTGTTACAGCCCGGCACCTCCTAGCCCATACACAGATTGAGGGAGTGGGTACTGGCATGTTTAAACTTCACCGATCACTTTTAAGTAGCCGCCCGTGATTGGATACTGTCATGAGGACGGCTATTGATTTAAGGCATCCGAATTCAAGTTGCCGTGTTGGGGTGTCTCACCGGTTGCGGACGTCCGTGTGTGCGGAGATGAACCTATGGTACTGGGTGAACGTGTTCAGAGAGGCGCAGCACTGTGCACTTTGAATGAGCCTCACTGGTATGTTCAGTTGGTAGCTATGATGATGTGAAGCTGAGTCATTAAGTTCCATGTCGTATGACTCTGAACTTGCCACACTTTCGCTCAACCTTCGGTACCAGTCATAGGTCTTTCTGTAGCTGTCTGGAATACCGCTGGTGGGAGTTCCTACCGATATGTGCCAGATGGACCAGGCTGAGAACAGCAGTAGTCCGGTTCTGTCATGCTGTCGATGATGATGATGATGATAAACGCATTTTAGACTTGAAGAGCCCTCCCATGGCATCTCGGCGAATGATTGGATGTTGAATAGGATTCAGCATAACTGGGAGGCTCTGAGTAGCGTAATGTCTTAAACGAATAGTGCATGAGCACAACAAATTTGCCTGACAGTCAACGCTTCAAAAGGCTTACACTTTCTTGCCTAATACGGAACAGCTTCTTGTTCGGCCTCCTGACACTTTTGATCACTTGAATTTTGACCAATTTGGACAATTCAGTATCTTGTGCGGATGTCTGGTGACGCGCATGAAGACGGTTTGTAAACTGCTAGATTTGGGTAGATGTATAGTCAAAGAGCTTTCAGCAACCTTATGAGTAGTGCACTACGTCTATACAATGCATTGTGGTATCTCGAATATTGTACCAACTGAAATATCAGGTGGCCTGGTGCAGCACATTGTTTGATTTGAGAACATCATAAATGAAATATTCATCTGGATTCTTGGTGAGTGTCTCGTCGAAACCAAATTGGTATGCAAACGAGTTCGCTAAGACAAGACCTTGACTCTACTTACAAAACTGTGAACACCAACCTTTTTTTTCAGCCTGCTTACTGCTTCGCCCTAATGTGCCACTGATCACCCCATATATCTGTTGACAGGCGAACAGAAACTTGTCTCCAACACACCTGTCTTCACAGCTATGCTTGGCCGACATTATGAATGTGCAAGTGAACAACAGGTGGAGTTGCGCAAAATCCCCGAAGACAAACAAGCACCTGTAGGCTACTTGAAATTATCCAAAGCGAAAATGCAGGCATTCATGGATTCTAAAGAAGAAAATTTTTCACCGGAAAGTAAGGAATTATTTCCGCTTTTTGGGTTATGTGGAATCGAAATCAAAGCACTTTTCCAATATTACTCATTTTCGGAAGTATTTTGGCTAGGTTGTCATTGGACTGCCATAGAGAAGACGCTCGAGGCTCCTGAAACGGAAAACGGGATCAATAAACAGCACCATATTTCGCAAACAGTAGTCACTTGGTCAAAATTGCCGTCACTAGGGGATGTATTTCATTTGAAGCGGTTCGGTGAATGACAAGTATTCGGGTTGCTAAGCAGCCAAATTGAGTTCCTTTCAATTTTTTGTCCCAGAGTATTAGGTATCTACCAATAATCGCTTGTACGTAGTTTTGGAACCCGTAAGATCTTCTATTCATGTGCCTTACCCCTAGGCAGTTTCCTCCCTGTTCTGTTTTATTTTGCATGTACCAGCACTGAAGTGTTGGCCTCGTTAGAGCTCATTGTCAGTGTGTATTCCTGGGTGTACTGAAACCTGGACTTTGGACGTCTGAGGTTGGACACATAGGTGTCATCAAAACCTCTATAACTCTTGCATACATTTGAATGGTTAAGTCTGAAAAGATGACCGACTTGAGCAATGCTCAAAAGACGGAAATATACGGGAGAATTCTCACTTCGTGCTAAAGAAAAAGCCTGTAATCAGGAGTATCCCCTTGGTGTTGAGTGACAAAATTACCTCAGTTTCAGTTGTGCACATTCAGCAGGTTATCAGGTTCACATGTGACAAATAAGTAGCGCAGAAGAGCTGTCGCTTTCGGGACGATGACCATTTTCTCAAAGCAAGATGGACACCGCACATTCTACTTTACCTTTTTTATTCGGACAGGGTGCTCACGATGAATAACTATTTTTGACTGAAAGTAACCCCATCTTTTGAATCGTCCTTTAGATGTTCTGTTACTATTTTCAGTGTCACAGTGCAGTGCTGATCAACCTGCGGACAACACTATCCCGATCGCAGTTGGGATCACGCTGGCCATCTGTATTGTAATAGCCTTGATTGTCTTCTTCATCTTCAATCGACGAAGTCGTCGCCACTATGGCTCTGTTTGAATGGACAACCAACCAGGTGCCAGACAGTCCACCTACGCATATCACAATCGTCACATCATGCATTCCAAATTTGATTGGCCTGTGGAACCACGTCACTTTTCATTTGTCTATTTGCTTCTCTCTTTGCTATTTCTGTGTGATTGGACAAAAGAATTGGCAAAGTGTCTTCCTACTTATCATGCATCTCCTCAACACAGATTACCCACTGATCAGTATTTGTAATGTTCCCGGTTCATTTGAGCGAAAATAACTCTTGTCTTTTCTCGGTGGGTTCTGAAAGTCCCGAGGAGAGAGCTGTTCAGTGGACTTGTAGGGAGATGTTGGCCTCCAGAAATTAAACACTAACCATGCAGTCCGTACTAGAATGTTTCAGTTCATTCAAAATTACATACGACGTACTCATAGGGCTTTGACACGGTCTGCTTCAAGTGAACGTGCTGCACCCGGCCGCCTCATGTTTCTATTGGTTTGATTGCCAGCTATCGTAATATATTTTCTAACGTAACATAATAGTCGGACGGTGACTGACAATTGTTCTATAGCCCACGACCGACTTCCCACTTTCTTGCTACCATCCAGAAAAGGAGAGGTGGATGTCTTCGTACTGGAGATGGTAGCTCATGTAACTGATACAGGAATCTAGAACTGACAGTGGACTTGGCATGGGAGAGATCGGGTGGGGAACGGAAGCCATGCGTTCAAGACAACAGTCCGATTATTTGGGTGGTACCAACAAGTCATTTTTGTTAAAAACCCAGTGCAGTTTGCTTAACTTTGTCTCCACAAACTTTGCGATAACTGAAATTCGTTGAAACTGTGGAAGAGTTTCACGTAGGCATTGCGTTTTGGCACACACCACACTTTCCGAATCGCCACGAATCAGCGTCCATGAGGCTGTTGATTGCTGCAACGGTAAAATGTTCATTGATTGAACCAATCAGGACCTTTCTGAACCGACAAAGTAAGCATGATGAAGTACCCCGTAGGAGGCCCAATACGAAGCCGCATATCACGGGCCTATCGGGCTAGAGACCCACACACTGAAAAATTTGATATCGAGCAGTCGTGTAATCCATTACCCAGGGATCACGTTCCTCAGCTTGTTTTGCGTTTTAACAAGTCAAATCGGTCATGAAACAAGATGTCAAGGGAGGGAGAAGACACAAGTTTAGATACGTTAACCTTCCTTTCGCCATATTTGTCAAGGACGCAAAATACGCGAAAGTAAGTAGAAAGAAAAAAACGACAGCTATAGATCGGACACTCAATGGATGCCCAGAACCAATCGTGCAACCAGAGCAAAGTTATTCAGAAATTCGAAGTCCACACATACTACTGATTGGAAAGTTTCAATAAATATGGCTTCAAAAAATCGACAAAAGTTCGGAGTTCGAATTTGGCGAGAGAACGAAGATGTTTCACGACAGGCAACTGTAGTTTTCGGTTTGGTTGGGTTTGGATGCAACGTTGTCGTTCATTTCAGGGGCGTGTTCAGATGGTTGATAATGGTTAGGTCTATCTGTCCTGCTGGATTATTTCACCACAGCTACATGACTTATTTAGTTCAAAAACACTGGTGAAAATATCCAAAGATGACAGCCCGGGTACTTATTCACTTTTAGAACCTAATTGATGCACATGTACCAAAACGAATCGACTGTGGATACTCAATGGCCGCAAATAGGGTCCTTGAGTTTCATCTCAATATTGATTTTTAGACCATAACTGTCATGCACAAAGATCGCTCAGTTGCCTGTTTGTAATAGAAATTTGACAATTAAATGAATGACAAAAAGAGGAGGCTCTATAGGTATGCAAAAGGCAATTATTTATGCGATGAACACGATTTAGCACCGCCCTTTTGATGATGTCATTAGCTACACAGTCAACGATGGACGGTAGAGCAACAAAGATACTATCTTGTCTAACATTCTGAACCCGGAAGACAATATGTATAATTTTTCTGCATATTGTAACAAGCGGACGAAATGGAAAATTTACCTTTGCAAGCCCCTTCTAGTCCGATGTTTGGCCCGCGCTACGTCTACTCCTGGCTCTCTAAAACAAGGATTTTATCAGGTCACGTCCGGAAAAGTGAAACCAGTGGCCACTCCAAGTAGTTCTGCATTAAATAAACATTGACAGCCTCCGCTGGAACACCTACGTACACGTATATCTACAAAGGTAAACTGTCGCTTGGCGCGCCTACACGAGTTATTTTAAGGTTGGAATAAAGGGTAGTAAGAACATTGAAAAAGGTATGGAAATAACCGCCGCTGGCAGTGACATAAAAATAACGTCTATGGAATAAATAATGGGTGCTATTATCAGTTGATTGCCGTTCAGGCATTCCGAGAAAAATACACATCAATGGGTTCAAGTAGAACATAAGGTTGACGGAAACTCCGGGACTGCGCCTACCTGATGAGCCCCAAGAAGGGCGAAACCGGTGGTGGGCTATCTACGGAGTTTCAGCAACCTTGTGAGTAGTTTCCCTTATGAACATAGTAGTGTCTGTTACAACTGTCTCCCTATAGCATCTCACCAGTCGGCTTATGGGGTTGTACTTAACATTTAGCCCGTACTTTTTCAATGCTTTATAAACTCTAGGATTTACGACTGTAAATCTTGAATCAATGACGTTCGATAAAATAAACTCACTCAGAAAATCAGCTGTCTGATTTTGGGCTAAACTGACAAAGAGCTAGTCTGTATCAACGTAATTCGAAATTTTTGGAAGGAAAACTTCGAAAAGTTTTTGAGTTTGTTTGTCCACAAACTCAAATGAACTTCGCTGTCAACTAGGATTAAAATATGCTAACAACTTTACGGTTTACCGACACAGAGTATTGGATGTAAGGTTGTACTAGCCTGATGTATTCTGGATGTGACACGCTTTAGTGAAGGTGTCTTCCCGATCAGTCGACATGTAGCTACAATATTTGAATTTTTCTGTTGTCTGGCAAGTTGTTTGTTATGCGTTTTCCCTTGTCTGCTGAAATCCATACGTTTGAATCCATTCAAAACTTTCTTTTTAATAACAACTACAGTCAAGCAACAGTCTTACAGGTAGGTGCGTCCACCAAGCGCCTTATAGTTTGCGGCTGAAGGAGTTAAACTGAATACTTGCACCTGAAGGTCCGTATCTGCACACAGTTTCATCAAAAAGACCTGAGCGAGGTAATTTATCCAAATGGTCGTCCCACAAAGAAAGTATAAATATGGTTTAGAATACTGAAGCATAAATTCCATAAATGGGTAAATTATATTCGACAGTCTCCCAGAGAAAGAACCATGGGACAGGTGCTTTCTGGTCTCTCCTGGGAGGCACAGCCCAGGAGGGTAAATCTTTGGGTCCTTTATTATTGTGTCAGGTACAGAAAAGCTGTAATCGATTCAAAGGAACCTCAAAAACTTACTTTTGTAGCAAAATACTAAGCATTCGTTCAATTATTACCTCCGATCAACGGTCCAAATCACCATCAATGGCCTAGATTTAAAGTGAAGTCTAGGTTATTGTCTTTTATCAAGCACATTGAGTCGTTGGATGAATTAAATAGCGTTTTTCAGTGTCATTTATAGCTTCTTGTTTACCGCGATCACACATTTCGAAGAAGCTCCCATCGTGATTTCCATTTTTACGGAATTAAATCTCAACGCGGAACGCACCGCAAACTGAAGGCAACCAGTGGCACCCCCATTTCTTGTTAGCCTATCAAAATACCACCTTAGGCCAGTAAGTTAAAGGTCACATTTTCCTGAAAGTCAAATTGCCAGAAGCAACGAGCCAGAAGAGTTGGGGTGGCCTAAGTGAGTTATCAATTCACTGCGTCTCGGTTTTACTATGATTAATAGCTCATCATCCGCCAGGCAGAGGAGGCGATTTTTTTTATCCGAAAATTCTGCGGGAAAAAGACGAAGATCCAATAAAATCAAGTGACAATAGCTTTAGTCAACGGAAACACCGTAAAATCTTTCTGAATTCTCGGGAAGGCATCCTAACAATGCTCGTTGCACTTGGCTAGAGGAGCTCCAGACGGCTTAATGGTTGAGATGTGTTGGTCGTTGTGCCAACCGCTAACCCACCGCTACGCACCACTACCCTTCCCAATAACGCACTGATGATGTCACCTCGATTGGTGATGAAACGCTTGCAGTCAAATTGCCCAGCTCAGCAAAAAAGCCAGCGACCATCTACGCTGCCTGAGCTATCAACGTTGTCCTTTCTAGTTGAGATGTGCACTTAATGACCGGGAGGTCCGCGGTTCGAACCCAAACTATGCATCTCGACTGCTCCTGTCTGTGCTTGGGAGAACCGCAAGTATACCAGCCATCGTGCTTCCTTCTATTAATACGGCAGCTATACACAGGAAGGATGCTACATCTGAACACATCACAAGAGACAGGTAAATGACTCCGGTACTGTGCATGCTGTCACTTTCAAACCCAAGTGCGGCGGTAAAGGTTTTTGATCTCTGTGCCGTGGTCTTGCCTCCCAGGCTCCACTTGAACTTATAGTGCTGCATTTTGACCGGTACTTTGGTTGTGCTTGAAAGTATAGACTCCTCGTTCTTTATTTGTCCCCCAACTCAGGAACTTTATACTTTCTTCCTCCAACACTACACTCGCGTAGTTTTTAAGATATACAGCAGTTAGACAGTAAATCGCCGTCGATGATTATCCTGTCCAAACTGCAAAATTGAAAAAGTGTGTTTGGTGGATAGCTATTAAACAATAATCAACTAAAACAGTATTGAAATTATCCGTTTCTATGGGCTTAAAGAATAGTGTTAAGGAACATAAGATCGAGTAAAATCTCAACTTTAACAATATAATTGTATAGACAAGTTTTCGGATTTGGTTTTGAATTCCTCCACTCAATCATTACACGTTTCGAACAGCCTGAAATTTGTCAAATATTTTGTTATGTCCCAGAACAATATGGTTTAGAGTTGCCATCAAACTAATGAAGCGAGTTTTTCTACTGTATGTTCTCATAGAATACGGGTTCATGGCCCCCGCTTCGATGGTAACGCAGATCTTAGTGAGGAAGAACCGTCAATGATTTCGTGGGCAATAGGTGCTTTCTCCATGGATGAGAAATCCTACGGAATCCTTGCAATGAAAACTCGCTCTGGGACATGGTGTTTACCATACATGGCATAACTAATGTTCCATTCGGAAACCGCGACTCCGGTTGAGCTGAAATTTTATTCTCATGGATGGTAAGCAAAAGTGAAGCTGGACCTGAAAGTTGCTAAAA